GTGTGGTGAGGACACAGCAGCAGTGGTGTGGTGAGGACAGCGTGGTGGTGGTGTGTGGTGAGGACACAGTAGTGGTGGTGGTGGTGAGGACACAGAAGTGGTGTGTGGTGAGGACACAGTAGCAGTGGTGTGTGTGAGGACACAGTAGGTGGTGTGTGTGAGGACACAGGGGTGTGGTGTGTGGTGGAGGACACAGTAGTGGTGGTGGTGGTGAGGACACAGCGTAGGTGTGTGGAGGACACAGTAGTGGTGTGGTGTGTGGGAGGACACAGTGTGGTGGTGTGTGGTGAGGACAGTGGTGAGGTGTGTGGTGAGGACACAGTGGTGGTGGTGTGTGGGGAGGACACAGTAGCAGTGTTGTGTGGTGAGGACACAGAGCAGTGAGAGGACACAGTAGCAGTGTTGTGTGTGGTGAGGACACAGTAGCAGTGTTGTGTGGTGAGGACAGGACAGACAGACACACAACCGGCTCTCAGGAAATACAGTGCCCTTCACACCCCCCTTCACTACCCATCATCCTCCCTCCCCTACCCACCTCCCTCCCCTCACCGCTCCTCCACCACCCCTCCACCTCCCATGGTTCATCCTTTCTCCAGCAGGTGGGGCGTAGGGACTGTGGGTCTCAGTGTGTCTTGTCTCGCAGTGAACGAAGGAGCTCTGTACGCCTGCTCCTTCCCTCCTTCAAGCTTACTCCGGCTTATCTCCGACTCGCTGAAGCTTTCACAAGGTTCAGGGCTTCAGCTGTGTAGAGTAGAGCTTATCCAGGACTCTGGGGCTTGTAACAGAGCAGGGCGGAGCTTGTCGACGGCTAGAGTGTCTCAGTGTCAGGGTGGAGCTTCTTCCCCAAGGCTCTAGCAGTGCTCCAGTGGTGGGTGGGGCTTTTTATTCAAAGGCTCTGAAGCTCTTTCAGTGCTGGCTAAAGCTTATTCAAGCTTCTTAAGGACTTCCTATGAACGCCCAAAAAGATTCCTCAACTTAGAAAATCCCCAAAGTAGTGAAGCTTGTGTGTGTTTATGTATGTTTGTGTGTGTGTTCGTGTTACAGTGCCTGGACACACTTATAAAGGTTCAATATCTGTTCAATCCCCAAACTGAACTTTAGAGCAGAGACTTGAATCCCTTTACGAATCTTAAGTGGACCGAATCTCTTTAACGAACCTTGTGGTAGTTTCGAACCCTCTTTACGAACCTTGAGTAACCACTGGACTCGTCAACTATATCAGGTAAGACTTGTGGTGTAATGTGTTGTGTTATTATTGGTGGAGAGAAACTACTGTCTCTTGAGTTCTGTGTAGTGATGGTATAGTGGTGATAGTGATGGTATAGTCATGGTATAGTGGTGATAGTGATGGTATAGTCATGGTATAGTGGTGATATAGTGATGGTATAGTCATGGTAGTGATGGTATAGTGATGAATTGATGGTGATAGTATTAATAATGGCAAAATAATAATAATAATAGTATGAGAAAGAAGCAAGATACTTAAACCAAGAATAGAGAGAATAAATTACCCGCCAGTCTGTCGTAAAGTTTCCCTCCCCCAGCCAACAATTACCCTATACCCACAGGCCTTGTTTAATTATATCCCTAACAATATAGTCTATTTTTCCCCAGATAAATAATTATAACCCACATCTTTTATTAAATTTTATCGTTAATTCAGAATTTTACCAACTTTTTTTATCCTTTGTGTTCGTATATATATTTTTTTCTCTATTTCACAAACCTGAAAAAAAAAATGTATATAAACCTGAAATAAAGCTGTGTTCAGGGGTTTGTTTACCTTATCTGTGAGCGTTTAGTCTCCGGATCCTGTGTTTACATCAATGTTTTGTGTTTGTGTTTGTATGTTGCGCAATGTGTTTGTTGTTTTTGTGCGAGAAACTTAATTTTTGTTGGTTTCAAAGACTGGAAACCGGTAGGAGTTTACATAAATTCTGTAAATATGAAGAAAACTTTTTATTTTCCTGTATAGAAACCACAAACGTTTTCATATTACAAACTATATATTCTTAGAAACCTTAAAAGCAATAAATGTGTTCTCAGGTATAGAAACCAAAATACTTAATATCAAATAGAAACCTCGATAACATTGAGAACTGAACCAAGAACATAAATGGATTTGTTTTCACACATAGAGACCCCCTGATGTTGTATATGTCCGCTCTCTGTAAGAAAACCAAATAGTGTATAAGACATGCTAGAGACCCAGTGTTATATAGTGTTATTAAGTAGAAACCAAGATACTGAAACTTATCATGAAAAGATAATTAAATTTCCTTGTAGAAACCCCAGCTACTTTACGTCAGGTTCTCTATCAGAAACCCAAACGCCGTGTCCACCATTTCAGTTAATTCAGTGTCCATTTCTCTCCCTCAGGTGAGTGTGTACTGGAGGCGACACCACGCTATTGGTCAACTGATCTAACAGGTAAAGTGACATCACCCCTTACGTCATAACCCCTTCGGTGACGTCATTGATACGTCACCGAGAAGAATAGACTAGAAGGAAAAATTTGGTTTTGGTTTTGAAGGAAATGTAATGTGATTGTTGTTATTTTTTGTTATTGGTGTTGTTTTATATTATTTTAACCACTTAGTAATTGGTAGTTGATGTATGTAGGTCTCTCTCTCTCTCTCTCTCTCTCTCTCTCTTATGACTCATACACCTTGAGTCGTGTTCACCATCATGCAAGACTTAACAGGGAACTGCAGGTAAGTCATACGTGTCTGACTCATCCTGTGTGTGTGTGTATGATTGTGTCGGTATGATTCGGGCAAGATGATGTCTGTATGAATTTGATTGAGTGTATGATTCTGACTGGGGACGTATGATGACATTTATATGATACTAATTACGTGTATGATAATGTATGAATGATTATGTGTCTGTATGATTAACTTTGTATGATTCTAAGTGGTGTCAAGTGATACGTATGTGATTGTATGATTGTAAAGGAGAGATTATTTATGTATGATTGTGTATGAGAAACAGACAGACAGACAGACAGACAAACAGACAGATAGATAAACAAACATACACACCAACAGAAACAAACAGAAGGAGAAATACACTAACAGAAATTGACAGACAAACAAACACAAAAGAGACAGTAAAAACACACACACACACACACACACACACACACACACACACACACTCACACACACTCACACACACACACACACACACACACACACACACACACACACACACACACACACACAGTAACGGTCACGGACATAATTTACACCAAGCGTTTTACAGTTCAAAATAAAATCAATACAGTCAACAGTCACATCTTCCGCCATATTGAATTTTTAGTTTATATTTATATTTACGTGTTAGAGCAATGAAAGAGCAGTGTTAGAGCAGTGTTACGTGTGTTAGAGCAGTGTTACGTGTGATAGAGCAGTGTTAGAGCAGTGTTACGTGTGTTAGAACAGTGTTGCGTGTGATAGAGCAGTGTTACGTATTGTTAGAGCAGTGTTACGTGTGTTAGAGCAGTGTTAGAGCAGTGTTACGTGTTTTAGAGCAGTGTTACGTGTGATAGAGCAGTGTTAGAGCAGTGTTACGTGTGTTAGAACAGTGTTGCGTGTGATAGAGCAGTGTTACGTGTGTTAGAGCAGTGTTACGTGTGTTAGAGCAGTGTTACGTGTGTTAGAGCAGTGTTAGAGCAGTGTTACGCGTGTTAGAGCAGTGTTAGAGCAGTGTTACGTGTGTTAGGCAGTGTGCGTGTGTAGAGCAGTGTTACGTGTGTTACTGTGTTACGTGTGTTAGAGCAGTGTTAGAGCATCTGTGTTAGAGTAGTGTTACGTGTGTTAGAGCAGTGTTACGTGTGTGTTAGAGCAGGTTAAGCAGTGTTACGTGTGATAGAGTAGTGTTACGTGTGTTAGAGCAGTGTTACGTGTGTTAGAGCAGTGTTCGAGCAGTGTTACGTGTGTTAGAGCAGTGTTACGTGTGTTAGAGCAGTGTTACGTGTGTTAGAGCAGTGTTACGTGTGATAAGAGTAGTGTTACGTGTATTAGAGCAGTGTTGCATGTATTAGAGCAGTGTTAGAGCAGTGTTACGTGTGTTAGAGCAGTGTTAGAGCAGTGTTACGTGTGTTGGTGTTAAGCAGTGTTACGTGTGATAGAGCAGTGTTCGTGTGATAGAACAGTGTTATGTGTTGAGCGTGTACGTGTGTTAGAGTATGTTACGTGTGTTAGAGCAGTGTTACGTGTGTAAGAGCAGCGTTACGTGTATTAGACGCGTTACGTGTTAGAGCAGTGTTACGTGTGTTAGAGCAGCGTTACGTGTGTTAGAGCAGTGTTACGTGTGTTAGAGCAGTGTTACGTGTGTTAGAGCAGTGTTACGTGTGTTAGAGCAGTGTTACGTGTGTTAGAGCAGTGTTACGTGTGTTAGAGCAGTGTTACGTGTGTTAGAGCAGCGTTACGTGTGCTGAAGCAGTGTTACGTGTGTTAGAGCAGCGTTACGTGTGTTAGAGCAGTGTTACGTGTGTTAGAGTAGTGTTACGTGTGTTAGAGTAGTGTTACGTGTGTTAGAGCAGTGTTACGTTTAGAACAGTGTTACGTGTTTAGAAGTAGTGTTACGTGTGATAGAGCAGTGTTACGTGTGTTAGAGCAGCATTACATGTGCTAGAGCAGTATTAGACAGTGTTACTGTTTAGAGCAGTGTTAGTGTTTAGAACAGCGTTACGTGTGTAGAAACAGCTTACGTGTGCTAGAGCAGTGTTACGTGTGTTAAGAAGCGTTACGTGTGCTAGAAACAGTGTTACGTGTGTTAGAGCAGCGTACGTTTAGAACAGTGTTACGTGTGCTAGAGCGGTACGTGTGTTAGAGCAGTGTTAGAGCAGTGTTACGTGTGCTAGAGCAGTGTTACGTGTTAGAGCAGTGTTACGTGTTGAAACAGTGTTACGTGTGTTAGAGCGTGTGCGTGTGTTAGAGCAGTGTTAGAGCGTGTTACTGTGTTAGAGCAGTGTTACGTGTGTTAGAGCAGTGTTAGAGCAGTGTTACGTGTGATAGAGCAGTGTTACGTGTGATAGAACAGTGTTATGTGTGTTAGAGCAGTACGTGTTAGAGTAGTGTTACGTGTGTTGAGCGATTACGTGTGTTAGAGCAGCGTTACGTGTGTTAGAACAGCGTTACGTGTGTTAAACAGTGTTACGTGTGTTAGAGCAGTGTTAGGGCAGTGTTACGTGTGTTAGAGTAATTTTACGTGTGTTAGAGCAGTGTTAGAGTAGTGTTACGTGTGTTAGAGCAGTGTTACGTGTGTTAAAAGCAGTGTTACGTGTGTTAGAGCAGTGTTACGTGTGTTAGAACGGTAGAGCAGCGTTACGTGTGTTAGAGCAGTGTTACGTGTGTTAAAACAGTGTTACGTGTGTTAGAGCAGTGTTACGTGTGTTAGAACAGTGTTAGAGCAGCGTTACGTGTGTTAGAGCAGTGTTAGAGCAGTGTTACGTGTGTTAGAGCAGCGTTACGTGTGTTAGAGCAGTGTTACGTGTGTTAGAGCAGTGTTACGTGTGTTAGAGCAGTGTTACGTGTGTTAGAGCAGTGTTACGTGTGTTAGAAACAGTGTTACGTGTGTTAGAGCAGTGTTACGTGTGTTAGAGCAGTGTTACGTGTGTTAGAGCAGTGTTACGTGTGTTAGAGCAGTACGTGTGTTAGAGCAGCGTTACGTGTGCTAGAGCAGTGTTACGTGTGTTAGACAGCGTTACGTGTTAGAGCAGTGTTACGTGTGTTAGAGTAGTGTTACGTGTGTTAGAGTAGTGTTACGTGTGTTAGAGCAGTGTTACGTGTGTTAGAACAGTGTTACGTGGTTAGAGTAGTGTTACGTGTGATAGAGCAGTGTTACGTATGTTAAGCACTACATGTGCAGAGCAGTGTTACGTGTATTGACAGTGTTACGTGTGTTAGAGCAGCGTTACGTGTGTTAGACAGCGTTACGTGTGCTAGAGCAGTGTTACGTGTGTTAGAGCAGCGTTACGTGTGCTAGAGCAGTGTTACGTGTGTTAGAAGCGTTACTGTGCTAGAAACAGTGTTACGTGTGTTAGAGCAGCGTTACGTGTGCTAGAGCGGTACGTGTGTTAGACAGTGTTACGTTGCAGAGCAGTGTTACGTGTGTTAGAGCAGTGTTACGTGTGCTAGAGCAGTGTTACGTGTGTTAGAGCAGTGTTAGAGCAGTGTTACGTGTGTTAGAGCAGTGTTAGAGCAGTGTTACGTGTGCTAGAGCAGTGTTACGTGTGTTAGAACAGTGTTACGTGTGCTAGAGCAGTGTTACGTGTGCTAGAGCAGTGTTACGTGTGTTAGAGCAGTGTTACGTGTGTTAGAGCAGTGTTACGTGTGTTAGAGCAGTGTTACGTGTGTTAGAGCAGTGTTACGTGTGTTAGAGCAGTGTTACGTGTGTTAGAGCAGTGTTACGGTGTTAGAAGTACGTGTGTTAGAGCAGTGTTGCGTGTGTTAGAGCAGTGTTGCGTGTGTTAGAGCAGTGTTACGTGTGTTAGAGCAGTGTTACGTGTGTTAGAGCAGTGTTGCATGTGCTAAAGCAGTGTTACATGTGCTAGAGCAGTGTTGCGTGTGTTAGAGCAGTGTTGCGTGTGTTAGAGCAGTGTTGCGTGTGTTAGAGCAGTGTTACATGTGCTAGAGCAGTGTTACATGTGCTAGAGCAGTGTTGCGTGTGTTAGAGCAGTGTTACGTGTGCTAGAGCAGTGTTGCGTGTGTTAGAGCAGTGTTACGTGTGTTGTAAGTATCAGAGTAACCCTTTCACTTCTCGCGGTATGTCAGTGTTGTCATCTGAAGCTCCTCGAATATTCTACCCCGCTTACCATTACGTGTGTGTGTGTGTGTGTGTGTGAATTTATAAAGATTTAAAAACATATTGGAGCGATAAAAAAATGTTGACTCGTGACGTCATAGTGTTTACAATAAATCTGGCACCCCGTTGATATATTAACACACACAACAGGTATGCATCAACAGACCAATGACGTGTGATTGGCTAATTCGTTGACCAATAGAAAACGATTCAGGGGGTGAACATCCGCGGCTCTCAATATGTAATAATTCGCGGTTTAATATTTCGCTCTGGTACACCATGTCTGTAACTCGTCTTTCAGTGGTTGAGTCGCATCAGCCAACCAGACGTCGCGCTGTCAGGCTGTTTTTGCATACCTTTTGTTTTGATTTTGACAATAGTGAGGAACCAGTTCAGGGTGAGGTAACCCAGCCGTCGGCACCAAAAAATATCATTTATTTGTTTATTTTAACCCCCTAATATAACATAATTATCCCCCTGCTATAAATATTTCAAGTTTTAACATATATTTAACACATTTTAACATTATTATAACACCAGAAACATTGACACAGGAAGTGGAGTTAAAGCCAAAAAATCTCTATGGGTTGGGTTGGTTACGTAAGAGTTGAGTTGTT